AAAAAAAAAAAAAAAAAAAAAAAAAAAAAAAAAAAAAAAAAAAAAAAAAAAAAAAAAAAAAAAAAAAAAAAAAGTGAGATTAACCTCTATTAATATCATGCTTAGCTTGGTATAGATTGGATTAGATTGAAATTATCGGACTAAGTTGATGTGATATTGTTCACTTTAGACCTCAATTTATATATATTGGTTCTACCTCTTTCTTGAGAGGCAGAATTGGGTTTAAAATATTGAGAATGAGATACTAATCTTTTTACTTCATCACCTTCAACAAAAGGACTATCTTTTTCAAACCCAAAAACTCTTTTAAGGCAAATCTTAATATCCAGACATCTGAAAGTTTGTTTCATAAAGTCGAAGAGCTGATATCCTTTTTATTTCAGATGATTGTTTGGGTTCGAACTCTTTATTTTAAGGGTATAATATGAATTACATTTATTCTTGCATTATTTGGAACAATAGATATTATTGATAAAATTGGGTCAAAAAAGTTTGGGTGATAAATAAGACAAAAAGGCCCAACATGGAAAAGTTCGGTTCGAACACTAAACTCACTTGGTCGGCCTCAAATTGAGGTTGAAGCTAGCCCTAAGGTCACCCTCACGGCATCCCCAAGTTCATGCTATTCTAATGCGGCCAATTTAATCCCTTTTTAACCTAATTAACCTAATTCGAAAATGAGTCCATGAAATTCTATAATAATATATAAATGCCCATTCTTCTACTGAAAAATGGTAAATTCTTTCCACACTTCAATTCTCTCCCCTAATTTAACTTCAATTCTAAAACTCCTTCCATAAGTTTATAATTAACCTCTTAGACAAAATTTTGAGCCAAGATCGCTCTTTAAAGACTTTAGAGTTCTTTCCTTTTAGTTTAGTTTAATTTATGGCTATGTTTTAAGGGGAAGCTATGTTTTATGAAAGTTTAAATGAAGTCTTTCCGCATTCATGTTTATGATAGGTAGACAGTAGTGACCTTAAATTAAGTATAAAATTACCGGTCGTTACTCTTTAAAGACCTTAGCTCAAACTTGTTCACGCACGCATTTGTTCGTATTTGGTTTGTTTTCGTAAGTTTCAACTCTAATTTTTTTGGGAACTTGGACTCATTCTCCGACTACAATTTACCGTACTTCAATATTTAATTTACATAGTATTTGATATACGACCAAATGTTATGACCCTACTAGACTTCAACTTCAAAAACATGTAACGTGTAGGAATAACTTTTGGGATGACAGCAACTTTGAATTTAATAAATTTAGGAAAAATAAGAATTCAATACTATTCTTTTAATAAAATCTTGTTCCAATTTAGGGAAAAAAAAAACAAAAAATAGTATTGAAAAAGTCAAAGTAATGCAATTAAATTATAAGTAGGGTCTCCTTGTAGGGTAGTCTCTAATATATATATATATATAAATAAAAGCATTTAAATATATATTTAAATGTTATGAAACTTGCTATAAAAATTTTAAAATATAATTAAAAATAGAGATATAAACTTTAGTGGGTGAAATTTTTTTGTAATGATTTAATAAAATAAGTCGAGTTACATTGTCGAGTACAACCATAAATAATGATATTAAAACTTAGGTCCTAAATCTATAATTTAAAAAATTAATAATAATAAAATTATTAAATGGGCCTTAGGGATGAAGGTAGTGGTCCTGCAGTCATTTTCCCTATTGAGGTGGGCCTAGGGCCCAAAATGCGACCGGAATCGTAAATGATTCAATGTATGAAGACAAAGAGGAAATTTTAATTTGTTGCGTAGCGGGAAGGAAATTGGTATCCGACAGTCGGTGGCCGGGCACTTAAATTAACGGATTGTCCCGACATGTCGATTCGTCGTTGCTTTCTCTACCAAGGTCAAGGCGCCACCGATTTTTTTTATTTTTCAGAAGGCAGGCTATATTAAATCTTTTAAATTTTAGGTTTAGAAAATAATATATAAATAAAACGACAAAATAATTTTTTTAAAGGATCATAATATAACACAAAAAATGTTGCCACTAAAACATTTCAAAATTTAAAAAATAGATAAATACACTCTTGAAAACTCTATTTAAAATTTAAATAATTAAAAAATTAATTTAGGCTCACAACCTAAAATTAATAAAATTACGAATCAAATTTAAAATCGTGATTGAAAGTTATATGACATAAAAGAGTTTGTTTTGGAGGATTAATAAAAATTCTTGTAATAATAAAAAAATAAATAAACCCATTGAACAGCGTGAGTCCCACGTGCCTCAACCGCACTCTATCAAAAAATAAACCAATCATGGAATGCCACGATGGATTACTAGTGTCGTTCACGTGTGACCCAAACATTGGTTGGATTTTTTAGGACCTCAATTTTCTTTTACAAAATTGCACATTCAAATTATTAAGAGAGAGAGAGAGAGAGAGAGAGTATTCACTCTCTTTCTATTTAAATCAATAACTGAATAATAAAAGAAATGCCAATATTAAGTTATATTTCAATACATTTTGAAAATAAAATTTTAATTATTTCCTTAAACTAAACTGCCTTATTTTTATATCTGGAGATTTCGTTCACTTTTATATACAAAATGATAAGATTAAGATAAAACGAATATTAATTATTAGAGTTTCAAAAAAGTTTTAACCAACGAACGAGAATGATCCGGCTCTCGAAAATGATTTAGGAGGCGGGGAAAAAACGGTTGATCCAAGGGGCAATGTTGATCATTTGGCCTATTTCTTTGGGGCACAAGGTCCTAGAGGAATTGATCAGTTGGGTGTGTGTATAGGTTCACTGTATGTGCCATTATCATCTCACCCTCAAATGGGCCCCTCCTTGTCTTCTAATTCACTCTCTCCCGAACCAAATGTTTTCGGAGATTTTTTAACAGCATCGATCATATTAAATTTCTATCAATATGTCCATATATTTTTTTAACTACGATTTTCTTGTTCTACCGAATTAATCCGATCGTAACTTATTGAAAAACAAAGGCAATAAAGACCATACATCATCATACTTTATGTGACATCTCATGCCCCAAATCTCCATAAATATCAACTCTTCCACGCCCACCAAACTAGCAAAGCCAGAAAGAAAGAAAAGAAGCTCAAAAAAGCTCCATAGCTTATAACAATGGATGATTTGCTTTGGAATGGCTCATGGAACAACGGAGAAGACGACGGCTGCAAAGAAAGCCTGCTTTTTTCAGACGGCTCGAGTCGTTGTTCGAGTCCTCCATTACAAGAGCTTCAAACAGTTGCAAGAATCTTGGGGTTGTCGGAGATCGAAACTCCGACGCCGGATATGAGGGCGGTGGAACTGGCTGTGGATCCCAAGTCATGGCCGGCGGGAGCTAGCCCCGGTGGACTTCTGTTGGAAGAGCTTGAAAATGACAAAGGTTCCAATTTTTGTAAGCTTGTTCACATTTGAATCTTATCCATATTGGGACATTCACACTTCAATTAAAATCCTTTTTTTTCTTTGTACTTTTAATGTTCTTACTTTTGAAGACATGCACGTAGGTATTTTGATAATCTCGTACTAAATCGAATTTAGCATTCAATTAATATATATTATATAATAAGCGTTAAATATTTAAAATATAATAATTCTTTTTTTAGAATATATATTTATTTTTTTATGGGAGTGACGTCATTATAAGTAGAAATTGCACCATGCAAATATTAGATTTATATTACCATACCATGCAACAACCCTCACTGAATTTACTATGTAGGAATTGGGGTATCTCCGTCATCTTCAACTAACTATGAAGCCGAGTCTAGTGATCGAGATCAAATCGTGTCACGAATGAAGGAACTGATATATCATGCAGCGGTGTTTAGGCCGGTGAACTTAGGGATAGAGACGGTGGAGAAGAAGAAGAGGAGGAACGTCACGATGTCGAAGGAACCGCAGACGGTGGCGGCGAGAAAACGAAGGGAGAAGATAAGCGAGAAAATTAGGGTTTTGCAGAGGTTGGTTCCTGGTGGGAGCAAAATGGACATTGCCTCCATGCTTGATGAGGCTGCAAGCTACCTCAAGTTCCTTAGGGCACAAATCAAAGCACTAGAAGGCAATGGCTACAAACTTGGCTCAAATTGCACCTCCTTCAACCCCACTATTTTTCCTTCAAATGCTTATTTTCCTTTCTAAAACCTCAAATATATTATGTCCCCAATCCATTATTGAGTTTACTTAATATTAAGAATAATGAAATATTATTCTTATATTTTCAAAATCGGGAAAATTTAAAACAATCCATGTAATCTTCAGTACATTGAAAACAAAAACTAATGTGCAGTACATATTGTCTATTTTAGCATGTTATGTATGATCGTCAGTCTCACCGTTTTAAAACGTATCTGTTAAGAACCCTTCCTTACCAATAAAAAAAAAGGTTCCTTACTAATATATGAATTGACAAAATAGCCCGTTTTGTTTTTGTCGGGGTGATAGAGTAATTAATATTGATGGGTACGTTTTAATATTTACAAAATTAGAATATTTTTTAGGTGACGGAAAATAAGAAAGGAACACAATGAGTGGTCCTGTGTCCCTTTTCTTGGCTGATCGGCACGTGGTCTATGCCCCTCGACCATTTCCCAATTGGGCAAACGGATTTTCTTGGTCTCAACACAATGAACTTGGCTTTGTTAAGTAAATATTAATCCTTCAGAATATAAACAGTAGTATTCTTAAATATGTCTTACAACAAATTCAACACCTTGCCGAAGGACCATGCTCGTAGTCGAATGTCGAGCTAATAGATGTGATAGAGTCAACTTGACGATCTTCGCATTGGTTTAACTCGAGGTTTAGACATTCCTTCAGTTCGCTCACAACTTGGTTCATTGTTGGCCTATTTGTAGGATCTGTAGTAGTGCAAGCCATTGCCATATCTACTGCTTTCCACACGGAGTTGACATTGCAACCATCTTTTATTCTCGGGTCAATTATAGAGGAGATATCTCCTTGATTAATATTGAAATCAACCCACTTAGTTATGTGACATCTTTCACTAGTTTTTATTATCACGGGTCTTCCGGAGATGAGTTCCATAACAACAATTCGAAAGCTATAAACATCGCACTTCTCTGTTAATCTAAATGATATGTGGCAACTGCAAATGAAAACCAACGAAATGCTGTCAACTAAACACAGTTCATCTCTTTTATAACGACAAATTTGAAGTACATACTCGGGATCAAGGTAGCCAGGAGTGCCAGCCACTTTGGTAGTCACATGGGTGGCATCACCATCGATAGGGAAAGCCCTGGATAGCCCAAAATCAGCCAGTTTTGCTTGTAAATGTTCGTTCAATAGAATGTTGCTTGGTTTGATATCTCTATGTATTATTGGCGGCCTGCAACCATTATGCAGATATTCCAGACCGGCAGTTTTTTTTTTTTTTTTTTTACCAATATCATCTGAAAGGGAAATGAAAACAAAACTGATTTACTATGCATCATTCACATGCTCACCTTGTGCTGAATCTAGTGCTATTTGAAGTCTGTCTTTCCATCTTAAAACCTGTCCTTTTCCACCTGTACAGAATTCATCAGTGAGATTTTAAAACGTGTCCGTTAGGGAGAGCCTCACTTTGGAATGTTTCGTTCCCCTCTCCAACCACCTTGAGGGCCCAATGCCGTTGCTGGCACACCACTCGAAATGTGGTTCTGATACCATTTGTAACCGCCAAGTTCACCACTAGTAGATATTGTTTGTTTTGGCTCGTAACCTATCGCTGTTAGCCTCACGGTTTTAAAATGCAGCTACTAGACTCTCTCCATAGTAGACGTATTTTAAAACCGTGAGGCTGACCACATCATGTAGTAGACCAAAATAAACAATATCTACTAGTGGTAGACTTGGGCGGTTACAAATGGTATCAGAGCCAGACATTGAGCAGTGTGCTAACGAGGACGTTGACCCCTAAGGGGGGTGGATTGTGAAATCCCACGTCGGTTGGAGAGGAGAACGAAACACTCCTTACAAGGGTGTGGAAATCTCTCCCTAACAGACACGTTTTAAAATCGTGGGACTGACAACGATACGTAATAGGTCAAAGTGGATAATATCTGTTAACGGTGGGCTTGGAATGAAGCGTACCTAAAAGGAGTGATCCGATGTTTCCTCTGCCCATATATTCATAGATAAGCCCCATTTTCTCCTCGCCCTCATTACAATATCCAACTAAGCTAGTCAAATTTCTGTGATGAACTCTTAACAGAATATCAACCTGCCATGATTTTTCTCAAAGTGTTTAACAACATTAAGTAAAAAAAAAGCCAAATGGGGTTGAAGAAATGTCATTGTATTGTTAAAACAACATGCCTCGGATTGAAATTCTCGATAACCTTGAGCTGACTTTGCAGATAATATCTTTACCGCTACTTCAGTGTTACCAATGAGACCATAATAAACTTTTCCAAAGCCTCCTTCACCTAGCAGCGTTTCAAAATGATGGGTCATTTCTAAGATACTCACATATGAATATCTTCGACTTGGCTGCTGCTCCAATGGCTCGGGTGGTTGAAGTTCAAAACCAGAGTTTTGTGGTGAATGAGGCTTCACCATCACAGGAGCTATAACAATTAAAAATTTAATGTAAGTTCTTGGTGTTCAATGTAAGAAACAATCAATAAACAACCTACTGAGATACCTTTAGAACTTGTTCTTCGCCGGAAAAAGTAGCAGTAGATTGAAGCTAAAATCAGCAATATGATAATAACACCACCAACTGCTGCTAGAATTGGAATTAGTATATTGGTACTCTTCTTTTTCTCGCTTGGCTCTGTCACATACAGATTTGGGTTCCCATCCAAGCTGGTGAAAGAAATATTTATGCAAGTTAAGTTGATATCAGAGGATTGACTAGTTGATATCAGTTGCATGGTTTAGTAAGTTCAAAGGACAACCTTAGTGAAAAGGAAGCTTTGTTCTTCTTGTCAATAAGTGCAGCAGGAACTTGTCCAGGTAGGTTGTTTCCTGATAAGTTTCGACAAAATTATATATATAGTCAATGTTGAGAATGGTTGGGAGAGTCCCACATTGGCTAATTTAGAGAACGATCATGGATTTATAAGTAAGGAATACTATTTCCATTAGTATGAAGCCTTTTGGCAAAGCGTCCCCAAAACAAACCCGTGAGAGCTTATTCTCAAAGTGGACAATATCATACTATTATGGAGGGTCGTGATTCCTAACCGTCTCGGATGGATTAATTAATGAAGAACAGAGTAAACTTACAAAATCCTCAAGAATGGCATGTCAGCTAGAAATTCTGGCACTGTTCCGCTTAGGTTATTGTTTGACAGATTCCTGAAATGAGCGATGAAACTCTTGTTTGAATAACTTGTTGGCAAGTTTCAAGATATTCAGATCTTGCTGTAGAATCAAACACTTAAAAACCTCGAGCTTTAGTAGATTAGCTATGTTGTTTGTAATTTTTCCGGCCATTCAGTAGATGTCAAGTTCCTGATAAGAGTTATATTCAAGTAAAGTAATCACTCTTGCAAATCTAAAACCTTTTAATGTTGGGGCACTCACAAGCCTGTGATTCTAGGAGGCTTTGAACCATCATCATATTCACAGGTAAGAGCCCGCCAAGCTAATGCTTCTGGGGCACATGGATCTCCTTGCCAATCTTCTATTTTAACCTCATAAAATTTCTGGATGGATTCAATAGCATCGACTGCATAGAACACAATGGATCAGGGAGGTAAACATTTACAGACACAAAAGAATGAAAATATACAATATTACCATCTCCTTGATCTGTGGTTGGTTGTTCAAAGTTCATGACTTTAAAGATCTCAAGCGCATTCAAGATGGGTGGGAGAGATGAATCTTCAGTCCTAATCAAATTAACTATATGTCTCCCACTAATAGGAAAGGGTTCTTGGCTATAGATGACAGTTTCTGTGAGATACGCCGGGGACAAATCCCCACTATAAAAAAGCTTCTCATTGTGATAGATCTTGAAGGTTTTAGACAGGGATGTTTCAAGTTCAGCGAAATATAAGTATATATAGAATTGGATAGATTGATCAGGATCACTCCAAGGTATTATCATGGGTGCACTTTCATTTGCCACTGTGGAGGCTGTCTTAAGCACTGAAGATGGTGCTTTAAAGCCTATATTATCGTTGTTGTTTACTGGAGAAGAGGTACTTATTGGAACCCATTCAGACACCGGGGTTGGTGGACTCCAAATACGATCATAATCATCATCTGGGTATCTAAAAACTTCTAACTATAATGAGAAAACATTTCAAAAAAAACGCATAGAAACATGAAATGGTCACTTACCGAGTGAATGTTTTGTTTTCTCCAATATCCATTCTCAAGAAGGTGGCTAATGATCCAGACACAGTTTTATAGCTTGATAGTTCCAAAGGCCTGAACTCCAAGGCAGAAATTAAGGGCGTCCCTTTATCAGTATTGACAAGACAAACTTGTGCATTATTTGAAGTTGTGATGTGAATGATCTCTTCGTGTATGATATTCTCTGGGAGTTCTAGTTTCACATTGACCCACAAGTTTGGTCCAAAGTGCAAATCAAATTCAGGAACAGTGTTTTTAGCATCATAATTGTCATACAAGAAACTAGCTGGAATCAAATAGTTCCAACTTTCACGGGAACGTTGTAACAGTTCCTTGTTCCTTGAGGGAAGCTTCTTAAATTCCATAGCTGTTTCTGTACATTAGACAATCCACTACTTGATGGTAAACTTGTTATGATGCCAGTGTTGATAAACTCTGAATCTGGAACATAATTTAAACCTGTAATTGGCTCTGTGTAGCTAGAGTTGGATCCACAGTCAATACTGATAAAGCCTGAAACAATTATATAACCAAGAACACTGATACCCCAAATCATAGAAAGGCTGTTGTCGTAGCACATACACACAAACATGGCAATACAAACCTTGTTGACTCTGGGCATAACCCAATTGCAGAAGAACAAAAGTGGGTAGAAAACCCAAGAGGAAGCGTATGAAGCTCCTCCCCATGATTCTATTAGTCTTTGAGCATATACATTGAGGCATTTCCTCCGATCCACTTGTTTTATTGCTAAACCAATTAGTCAACTTCGCTCAAGTTGAGTTTTGATTACAAAAACATCATTTTCTCAGACATAGTCAACCTTAGACTTGGCAATGAGCCAGTTTGATATGTTCCAACTTGAAAGGATAACTTATTTTATTGGTCAAAAGTCAACGAAATTGAGACCGTGAGACATTCGTTTGGTTGGAGGTTTTGTTTAAGATGTCTAGGAATGATTAGAAGGAAATGAAACGACTAGGAGTAAATAGAACAAATTTAATGCAATGTTTCAGCTCACAAAGGAAGTTTTCGCTTATAATATGGAGTAAATAGAACAAGTTTGCTCAGATACATAATTAAAACACACTACAAATTCTTGCAATGCAGATGATTTGAAGCAAATGAAGAAGAACAGCCCATGATTAATGATCTAGAGGAGAGAAAATCCCTGGAGAATCAAGGCATCAGCAAGAACTTTATTAGCAGCCTCAGAAGGATGCACACTATCCCAAAACACATATTGAGTTGCATTAGAACAGCTTCCCCCCAACGACTTGGGATTGCACAAAAGTGATGTTGTCTCCACTGTCCCTGTTCCACAGCACCCTTTTCTGGCTTCCATGAAACCTAACCAAAACAAAAACATGAGAAAATTAGTGATCCCTTTTGCTTCTTTCTGTTGCTTCATTCAAAGCCTTACCGTTTTTTGATGGAGAATTGATGACATCGAAAAGTGGCTTGTAAATGTCAAAGATCACAATTCTAAAACCAGGAAGCTGCTTTTTCAGAGTTTCTGCTGCAGAATTCAGCTTCTTGTTGAAGGCTTGCGCATCAGTATTGATCTTTGAGACACACCCACTTTGGTGGTTGCCAAACAAGGTGAGAGCAGCAGGAAAGCAGCCTAATGGAGGAAGTGAAGTCACTCCAATTCTCCTAGCTCCTAAACCATATATGTCCTGTTTTTTATAACATAAATGCATTGATCATCCATCATATTTCATGCGGTGAACTTAGCCATGAATGTTGTAAGAACATACCTTGATAAATGTTGTAAATGCTGCTATGAGCATTGAACCGTACTGATCGGCAGTGTAGAGCTTGTTAATGTAAGGATTGATGTAATAGTTCTGCAGATAATCTCCACTTCCTGCACTTAGCAAGTAGAGTGCTTCCTTGATAATGGAGCCTGATTTCTCATTGCCTGCTACCTTAGCCAGCTTGGCTTGGTACTCCTTGAACAATCCAACTTGTTGAGGCAGTGAGAGTGCATGCTGTTTACCAAGTTCAAAGTAAAAACTAAGTACAGGACAAGGAGATTGGAATGGCTTCCAAGATCAGAAGTTAAAACATTCTTACATTTGAGAGGGCAGCATTCTCATCATAACCAGAGGCAGCAGAGGCAAAATTGACTCCAATGAGAAGATTCTTGCCGGATGCCTCTGGGCTAAGGTATGGCAATGGAAAGGACTTAAATCCTAAACTTTGAGCTGAAGAACCAGAAGAACCAGAAGAACAGGAAGTTTATCCAACCATTATGTAAGGCCAAATGTGTGTAAAGTTTATCAAACTATTACGTACCAGTGAAATCAGTAGCAAGTTTTCCATTGCAAAACCTGCCAGTGGGCTGATGATTCACAAAGTCCTTTCCATATGGAGGGTAATTGGCCTTGAAAATAGTGTAAAGATAGTTGTTGTTTCCCACATCCACAGCAGAATCACCAAAAGTAATGATAGCAGGCACCAAAGTTGTAGAGTCTTGAGCATTTCCACACACAAGCAAGAACGCTAAGAACAACACCAACACTTGGCTAATAATAGAATCCATCTTTCTTCTTTGGTGCTGTGATTTGCAACTGAACCTTGAATTATAACTTGACCCTTTTATTGAAGGAAGCTGGAGGTTGAGTCTGGAGGCCTGTGTTAATGAAGAAATACTGTAATGAACAAAATTTTCCCTTGGCTTTCTTTGCTTTCCTGCAACCATTATGAACAAAATTATTAGCTGGGAAACTGTGAATGAATGCATGCAGCATTTAATGGAAAGGTTGGGAGAGGTAGTTGGGTGATACTGATAAATGATGGTTATGATATGAGTTAAAGCTTCATGAGCTTGCATGTGCAGGAGTTAATATGATTGTGGAAATGGGAAATCACTGTACTATCGGTGCTTAACAACTATAACGTGAGTAATATGAATAGTTATAAAGTCTATAGCTTATGTTCTGAGATCACGCACCGATTGGAGAGGGGAATTAAACATTTTTATAAGGGTGTGGAAACTTCTCTCGACTAGACACGTTTTAAAATTGTGAGGCTGATGATGTTGATACGTAACAGGCCAAAGCAGACATTATCTACTAGAGGTGGGTTTGGGCTGTTATAAATGGTATTAGAGTCAGACACCGGGCGGTGTGCCAACAAGGACGCTGATTCCAAAAGGGTAGATTGTGAGATCCCACATCGATTGGAGAGGGGAACGAAACATTTCGTATGATGGTGTGAAAATCTCTCCTTAGTTGACGTGTTTTAAAATTATGAGACTGAAGTCAAAAGAGATAATATCTGCTAATGGTAGCTTGTGCTGCTAACTTATCCATTTCAAAACGGACGGTTGGTTTCCATCGGTCAAAGAGACAGGAAGATTGAAAGAGGCAGAGCTATGAGGGTGGGTAGGTAGGAAGAAGCCTTGCAGACATTAAAAAGCTAGAAAGTTGAGAGGCAAGCAAAGTGACAGCAGAAAGAACAGCAGCCTGTGATGAACTATGGATTCATGGAAAGCAGAACAGGAAGGATAGGTGTCCCCTGCTGATTGGTTCAGGGATTGTCTGCACACAGAATCATGTGATTGTCTGTATAGTATATACATTGAAGCTCATGCTTGCCTACACCTGCTGATTGAGGATGACCATCAAAGCTTGGAAGAAAAAGCAGCTTTCAGAGGTCTAAAAGGGACAGATAGCTAAATAGAAGAAACAAGGAAATAAAACTAGTCCTTATTAGACAACAAAACCAAGCAATAACTAAGGAAACATGACCCTACCTAAACCTTTTACTTTATCTAAAAAAATATTTCAATGGATCCTTAAATTTTTTTAAAATCTAAAAACACTTAAACTTTAAAAAGTTTAATTATTACTCTTTTAACGGTTTAAAATGTTCAAAAATGTCATTACCATTAGTAATATAATTTTAATAGTAGTATTACATGTTAAATTTTTTTATTGTCAATGTATGATTGAAAACTGACTATTAACATTTCATATAGATTATCTTCAAACCTATTAATGTTACCTTTGAAAGTTCATGACGCGGTACCATCGTTAATGGTATTTTTGAACTGTTTTACAAAATAATTGAATAATTTTTATGAGTTTTTTAAAAAAGTTTAAAAGTGAAACTTTTGAAAACTCAACATATTTTTAAAATACTTGCAAAAGTTAAAAGGTACTATAAAACCCTTGTAAATGTTTTTTATTTTTTAATTTTAAGGGTATTTTTTTAGACTTTTCTTCTGAGTATTATTAAAACTTTTAAAAGTCTAAGGATATTTTTTAGACAAAGTATCAAGCTTAAAGGTAACATGAAAGAAACTAAATTATTCACGAACAAAATCTTAGCTATTTAATAAATATAAAATTTGATTCTCGAAGGATTTGCTTATTCTTAAAAATATTGAATATACTTTTAAAGTCAAGAGATCTATTAAGTTAAAGTTTTAGGAACATTTGAAAATAAATTTGTTTCACTTTTTTTTTTATCACAAATATAATTAATTTTTTAACCTCAAAATTTAGACTAAAAAAAAGATCATCGATTTTTGATATATTTAGTTAACCTATAAGGAAAAGCATAAGGTGAATTTCCCGGTTAAGAGAATGGTTAGGTGTGGAGCATAGCAGCCAGCCACACAAAAGATAATATGAATTACATGACATTAACCTTCTTCAAAATTTACTTTCTAGAAGACTTTGGATATCTACGACATACTTATTTGGATGTCAAGGTAACTAATCTTAGCTAGGTGGCTACCACGATTTGAACTTATTCCCTGTGGTGGCATGGTTTCTACTTGATTAGTGACGATGGTGTGATGTTTCGAGCATATGCAGAAGAATATTCTCATGTCCAATTTGAGAACACTTGATCTTCATGTTCCCAAGTTAACAAAATAATGACAGACACACGACATGGTTCCACCAGGTTCAACATCAATGGTAAAGTCTTACAGTACACATATGGCACATGAGTTCTAAGCAATTCTAGGTGACAAGATCAGGAAGTCATGGTTATATTGACAGTTATATATAATACAAGTTACTGCTAAAACAATGAATCCATTAGCTAACCAGCTAAGTCTATGATTATAGGCTTTTCAAAAGGTAGATTCTTCTTTCTTGTCCCTTTTTTTTTTTGGGGGGGGGGGGGGGGGGGG